AACAGACAGCTGCAGCCAGGTAAGACATCCCCCGAAAATAAGACCTAGTGTCTTTTTTCGGAGAAAAAAAAAAATATTAAGACACTGTCTTGTTTTCGGGGAAACACGGTAATACATGGGAGGAGGATGCAAGGCCATTTTCTCTTTCCCTCGGTTTTATACACCCCAGAACAAAATATTGAATTGTGCAGCTTACTCTTCAGTTTTATTTTTTAAAGGGGAGCCAGTGAAGTACTGGAGAGGCAGGTTGTACTGCAAGCATAGGAGCAGGCATCTTATGTTGCCTATTGTACTGAGTTATTTTGGATGCTGTGGAGAACTGCATAACATTACTGTGTCTTATTCAAGTCTATCAAATGTATCTGGGAAAAAAGGTGTGGGATGCCTGGTCCCCTGTTGTGGTATGCCTGGTCCCCTGTTGTGGTATGCCTGGTCCCCTGTTGTGGTATGCCTGGTCCCCTGTTGTGGTATGCCTGGTCCCCTGCTGTGGTGTGTTGCGCCAGCCCCCAACTAAGTATTGTGTCCTTTAGATACATAGGGGCTAGCAGCTAGAACCATGATATGCAGTGAGTTATGCAGACATCTGATACGCTTAGGATGTGAAAAGTCTCCAATAGCGCCTCAAAGTGATGATCCAGATTGGTGCCCACCGAAGAGATGAAAGATGAACAGTCTTTTTCCAACGTCCTTTTTCCACACACACACACACACACACACACACACACACACACACTTCCCTGGCAGAGCTACTTTAATGATTGGCTACTATGGGTCACTGTACTTTGTCCATCTAGTTTGTCTTTCAAAGATAAGCATATAGGTGAAACCTGTCCTTTATGACCACACGCTGTAGTGCAGGCACATATGTGTAACATCACTTTGGAAATAATAAGACAGCAAGAAAATTATTTGTATTCAGCAAGCACGACTGCTGTATTGCTATGTTACATCTACAAGGCCAGGGCTTTCAGGGGAATAAGAAAAAATATAAAAACTAACAAAGTTACTTCTCTCCTACTTAAAATGAAGAACAGGTCTTCACCCCTAAATTAAGAACTTTTACTCTGCGACGAACAGAATTATCAAGACACACTATGATATGCACCCTTCAGTCTATCATTTCTGAAGAAAGTGATTTGCCACATCAGACTCTTGTCTCATTGAACTATAAATTATCTAAGACGACAATACAATCTACTGGTAGTTCTCCCCACATACATACCGAATCTGACATTCCATGCAAGTCAGGACATATACATCATACTATGTGTGGAAGTTGTTTTATGTAAAAAGATTTCCTTGTGCTACAAGACGGGTTTCCTACAAAGTGGCAGCTGCAACACCTAGACACACTGCATTTAAACATCGGTTATAGTCAACTACGTGGCGGTCTTCTTTGTGCTCCTGAAAAGGCTACATGACTGATATGTCCCCACTGTCAGTGTCTTCCTACATACAAACAGTGCTCTGGTTCCAATAGATCACATCATTTGGGATCTTCATGGAGTAAAAGATAAACTAGATCATGAAGAGAAAACTACATGTTGACTGCTGTCCTTTGTGCAACATCCCATCAATAGACCTTCCCTGTCATTCTTGTTTGCCAATCTATGAGCCTTTCCAATGAAATGAGCACTATATCCCCTCTACAGGAATCTCCCTACCACAGCATTAGGAGCCTGTGAACAGTATTGTCACCTTATTACAGGAAGCCCTCCGAGCTGAAACTGGCAGGATCAGCAAGTATTTAACTCACTTTTACCAACCGTAATGGAAAAAAAAAAAAAAAAAAAAAAAAAAAAAAAAATAAGTTTT